AAAAAAAAAAAAAAGAACAACTCATAATTCATCTGCAATGGAGAAACGTAGGAAAGAAGAAGGAAAAAGGGTAAGAAATTAGGAAGGAAAGGTGGAATTTTAGGAGAAGAAATAAGTAGTAGTAGTAGTATAGTAACGAGGAAAGATATAAAGTAGTTCATTATGTTGGTAACGGTTGAAGACATGGGAGAAAGAAAAGTGAAAGGATTTTTTTAAATAGCACATAAATAGGGAAAAAAGGGATAAAAGCCAAAAAAAAAAGAGAAAATAGATAAATAGGACCCTTGGTCAAAGAGAGGTGTCAAGTCATCTCCTATTGCCCCAACTTTATATATATATATATATAGAGAGAGATGTTTGAATTGATTGTATTGTTTGTTATTGTTAAATAATATCTTGGTTTGACTGTATCGTAATGTACTGTAAACTGATAAGTTTGCTAAAATACCATCAATAGTTTAAATATTAAATTTATCAAAAAATATGCATAAAAATAATTTTTAAAAAACAAAATAGAAGAAGGCAAAACAACTTAAGAAAGCATAACAAAGGAGTGAGACAGAAGAAGGCAAAACAAAGAAGCACAACTAATTTGAATTGAGTTAAAAGCAAATTAGGAGAAAAAATAAAATTGAAGGCGGCAAAACACCTTTAACGTTAGCGGCAGAAATTATGGAAAAAAATAAAGTAGGTAATAGGTTGGAGATTTGGAGTTAAAATAGCAAAAAAAAAAAAAGTTAAAGGATAAAATAGAATTGTAGAGTAATAAGTTAGGGCATAATTGAAAAGAAAAATAGGAAACAATCCCACCACACCAAATCGGTTGTTTCAAAAAAGGGGATTTTTTATTGTTCCAAAACAATGAATTTAACAATACAATACATCCAATTTAATGAAATAATCAAAACAAACATTGTTTTGGGATAACAATACAATACGATACGATGGGAACAACCATCCAAACAAGCTGTAACTCCGATTATCCAATACATGAGTGCCAACTTATGATGGCAATTGACTATAAATGATTTATATTGTAAAATTAAAAATAATTTTTAAATTAAAATTGTTTAATGGATCTGATTTTTATCTATTGTGAAAGTTGTAGGAGTGATGTTTTACACTTTAGAACTTCTCAAATAAAAAGCGTCATATAAGCTCGGATAGAGATTACTAGGCATATAGCTTTGTGAGTTGTAACAGTGATTTAGTTAACTTGAGCGACTTAACTCAGATGAAGGAAAGTACAAGAGGCAATATCTTTAAATTTAGATAGAAATTGGGCATCAATTCATTAGTTTTATTGCAATGAAACTTGGGCATTTAGAAACTATTCAGAAGTACTCAGGTCAAAATAGTTTAAACAACTTGAAAAATGTTCAAAAATTCGTAGTCGAGCCTTTGTTCAAACAGCTCTCAGCGATAAGTGGTGGATGGGTCATCTGTCAACGCTCTATTTCAGTATATTAAAGCCTTTTGCTTCATTTTTGCAACATTTTAACCTAGTACTCAATTCGTCAAGGAACTGGGGATACGAGGGAGCAAATCCCGGTAAATCAGATAGATGGTGGACTGAGTATGAGATGTTCAAGCAGCTTCAATCTGTGTTGCTAACCATTGCTTCTTCGATGCATAACATGATACCACCTCTACTATAACAGGACTTGTTACCAAATATATGTGTGTGTGTGTGTGTTTATATTAGTTGCAGACAGGAGATAACTTAGCTTTCTTGACCCAAAAAGGAAACCCCACTCTCTACTTACAGGAAATACAGGTCCAGAACACAATGATGCAAAGGCCTTTACTAAGACGTCCATAAAATCATACTATTTCCTCCCAGACTATATACTATCCTACCGAAAAAACAAAAAGAAGTAGAATTATGGTGAATGAATAGCAGCATTAGTCCTTCTGAGACCACATTGACAACATCAAGGATGAGAAAGTCGTTTTTTTTTCACTCACAAAATATATAAGCAAGAGACGGCTGAACATTTTATCTATGGTATTTCATTTCCTGTTGTTGTTGACCACCTACTCACAGCTTATAAATTTCCACGTCTCATCTACAAATGCAGCTCCAACTGAGAATAGAGGCTTTATGCTAGCCAACAGTAATAAAATTTCATGTCTTTTGGTGTTCCTTTGCTTTTTGCAACACGTCCTTTAAAACTGCAGCAATTCTTTCTTCCATGTGACGCTCCAGAAATACCTCTTTCACCCTCTCATACCCTTTTTTACCCATTGTAAGCCTCCTCTCAACGTGAGTGGCTAATTTAACAATGTTTTTTGCAAGGGGCATTATCCCTTCTTTCCCCACAGGATGTAGCAGACCAGTCGTTCCATCTATTACAATTTCTCGGGTGCCACCAGCTGCAGTTCCCTGAAATGTAAGGCAAGAAGATGTGAGTGTAAGTTCTTCCAATCTAATGAAATATTTTAGATTATGCAAAGAAAATGTTGTATGTAAAAGAATAACTATGCAACAAGCCAAGATGGTGGAAGAAAATGGCAATTACCAACACGGGCAGCTGAAATGCCATGGCCTCGATAGTAATCCGACCAAAGCATTCACCCCGTGCCTACAAGGTTAAAAGAGAAGGGATGAATAATATGAAGTTAGCTATTACCGTAGTAGTAATATTATCTTACTTAAGAGGACAACAAACAAAAAAAAAAAGGAATAAGTGACCTAGCATCCACACCATGCCTACAAACCTGAGAATTCTGAACAAGAACGTCAATTGCAGCAAGATATGGAGCTACTGTCAGTGTCTTATTGACAAAATGAACATACTTTTCGATCTTCTTTGATATAACGAAGTTCCTAAGCTCTGTCTCAAATTTGCTATGACTAGTCATGTCACTCCCTACAACAACAGCATGAATTGATGGCAATTGTAACTTCCGTTCTTGAATAAGCTGCAAGCTCTCATAGAATGCTCGTAAAACTAAGTCCTGACCCTTCCCACGAGTAACACCTGCAATATTGCAAGCCCAGGTCATACTGTAGTTAGAAAAGGACCGTTAGTGAGAAAGCTACCAATATTTCGAATCCAAGTCGTGCAGTAGTTAAAGAAAAGTCTGTACAGCATGACGAGGAATACAAGTGAGTCATAGTGATTGGATAAATTCAGAAACGGAAAAGGGCTAAATATACCCCTCTACTTTCAAATATTGTTTACCTGTACCCTTTGTTATACTATTGGGCTATCCATACCTCTACCGTCATACTTTGGAACAAAAATACCCCTATTGTCATACTTTGAAACAA